TCTCTCCCTCTCTCCCTCTCTCCCTCCTTCCCTCCCTCCCTCTTTCCCTCTCTCCCTCCATCCCTTCATCCCCCCCTCTCCTTTTCTTTTTTTGTTTTTCCAAGGCAAGGCTTCTTTGTTTAGTTCTGACTGTCCTGGAACTCACTCTGTAGACCAGGCTGGTCTAGAACTCAGAGCTCTGCCTGCCTCTGCCTCCTGAGTGCTGGGATTAAAGGCGTGTGCCACCACCTCTTGTCCTCTTTCTACTCTACAAAACCTTACTCAAGTGGTCTAGCTAACCATCTTTCTTTTTCTTTACACACATTAGAGTCATTTAATTTCCTTTCACAACTATATTCAAGGTGCATGCTGCAGTTTGTGATTAATTATGTAAACTACATGATCAAGGAACTTGGACCTAATCTTGGGTGTAGAGACATAATTGTTTTCTTTAGCCATCAGCCTGTTCTTCCATAGGTAGAATTCATGGGTATACAATGCAGGAAGCTTCCTTGTTCTTGTTTTCTATCCTTGGCAAGTCTCACATCTAGGAAAAGGGAAAGGTGACTTCTAGCCTTATTTTTTCTTTCTTGTATCTCTTATTAGAGCAATTGACAGAACAACCTAAACTATTTCATTAATTGTCAATACTAATTGTCCTAACCACCTGTATCTTTAAATCATTAATACAACTAAGCATCATTGCTCTGTAAAAATTATTATGATCTGTGAGTATATTGTCCAGTGAGGAAGGGGGGTTTCCATGAATCAATCACACTATACTAGATACATTGGGATTCTTTTACATAGTAACTACACCATGCCAAATAAAGTAGACACATGATAGCAGTGGGCAGGAGAAGGCACAGCAGAAGCAAGGGGAACTCTGGAGACAATCCCCCTGGGGCCCTCTCTCTCCAGGGTGCACCCATAGCAACCGTGCTATGCTATCTGATGAGTGGTACTCCATAATATCCATTGCTGACTGCAGCTCCTCTGACATGGCCACTGCCAGTGGATGGCTTGCTTACAGTTTCAGAGGTTGAGTCCATGATCAACATGGAGGTGTGTATGGCCTTAGGCACAGGAAGACAAGGTGATGGAGAAGTAGCTGAGAGCTTACATCTGATCCTCAAGCAGAGGTGAGAGGAGGGAGAGAGAGCTAACTGAAGATGGTGTGGCATTTTGGAGCCTCTAAGCCCACTTTCAATGACACACCACCTCCAATGAGGCTGCATCTCTTATCCTTCCCAAGTAGTTTTGCCAACTGCAGACCGAGCATTCAAATATGTGAGCATATGGGGGGCTTTCTTATTCAGACCAACACAATAATAGACATTTAGATGATGCTGTTTGTCCAAGTTCAGAGAGTATTAGCAGCCATGCATAGTACAGGGGACTATAGACTATATTTGTTGGTGCGCTGCTGTGGATTATTGCTGTAAAAATAAGTGGTTATAGCTTCTGTGTGAGTCCTGGTGGGGTGCTCTGGGGATCCCCTCAGTCTCCAGTCCTCAATTCCCTGTGTCCTCCAGGGCTAGGATTACAGGTACTCAACACCATGTCTCAATTTACACAGGCTCTGGGGATCTGAAATCAGGTCCTCGTGCTTGTGTGGCAGGCGCTTTACTGGCTGTGCTAACTTGCTAGGCCCAGTTTTCAACTTTGGTGGAGGTTAACACTTCCATTTCCTTCAGGCTTTTGATCTACTTTAGTTTGGTTATGTATGATGTGAAGTAGAGCATCCAGAAATTCCTTTGTGCTTTCCTCATAGTATGAACATTTTGGAATCCATTTTTTAAAAAATATTTATTTATTCATTATGTATGCAATATTCTGTCTGCGTGTATGCCTGCAGGCCAGAAGAGGGCACCAGACCTCATCACAGATGGTTGTGAGCCACCATGTGGTTGCTGGGAATTGAACTTAGGACCTTTGGAAGAGCAGGCAATGCTCTTAACCACTGAGCCATCTCTTCAGCCCCTGGAATCCATTTTCAAAGTAACTATAAAATATTAACTTCTCTCATTTTTTTAAAAATTAAAACATAATTATGGCATTTTACCCCATCCCTTTCCTCCCTCCAACCCCGCCCATGTAAACTTAATCTTATTGCTCCCATATTATATATACATATATAATCTATAACCTGCTAAGTCCGTTCAGTGTTGCTTGTATGTATACCCTTTCAGGGCTGACCACTTGTTATTGGATAATCATTTGGGGGGCTCATCCCTAGGGAAGGCTAATTGTCATGTCACTCTTTCAGTGTATCTTGGTGTGCTGGATATGTCTTTGCCAACTTGACACAAGATGAAGTCATCTGAGCTAAGGAACCTCAAGTAAATGCTTTCATAAGATCAGGCTTTAGGGCATCTTCTTAATTAGTTTTATGGGGAAGGCCCAGTCCATGGGCAGGGCAGGTACCTGAGGGAGTATCTAGCACACAGCTGGCTACAGTGAGCCTTCAGAAATAGGGGCCATTATGTTGTGTCTCCAATGGGGAATTTAGGTTGTTCCAGGGGATGGTAGCAGGCCAGGGCAGCTTTAGCCAAGGAGAGCTATGTCCCAGCTGTGTGGAATGATTTTCTTTTGATTTCTCTTTGTTTTAAAGTTGTGCTATAGAGAGTTGTAAGCATCTGTAAAAGCAGACAGAATGGCACAATGTCTGCATGTATCCCACCAGCTATCAGCAGGTTCAGAACGAATCTGTTTCCTTCTGTACTTCCCTTCCCATGGGAGGTTGAGGCAAACCCCAGATGCTGATTCCATTTGTGCCTGCTCCAATCTGTCCACTCTAGGGGTGAAATCTAATTAGAAACGATTTCACCATTATCTCTGCTTATGATTATGGCAATCTCCAGTGGAAGCCGAAGGAGGACTCAGAGGGAGGGCTCTTCTACAGTGAGGAGGACAAGTCACATTCCCTGGGGAGGGATTCTGCCACCTGCCAAGCTTTCCAAAGCATTACCCCTTCCCTTCCTACTTCCCTTCACTCAGTAGCTCTCAGCATCCACCTGACTCAGAGATGGTGCTTCTGTCTTTCTCTCTCTCTCTGTCTCTCTCTCTGTCTTTCTGCCTCTATCTCTTTCTCTTAATTTCTCTTTTTGTCTTTGTCTTTCTGTTTCTCTCTTCCTCTCACACACTTTCTGTGTTTCTGTTTCTCTTCCTCTTTCTGTATGTTTCTGTTTATCACTCCCCCATCATTCTCTCTTTCAGACTGGCACACTGAAGGGTTTCTTTCCATTTTGTCACATACGTCCATGGGATGCTGGGGGAGGGGAATGACTATCTTTTTCTCTCGTGCACTTTGACTTGGACCCAGCTCAGTCATTCACCAACTGTGTGGACTACACTGTCTCAGATGGCAAGGGGATTTCCAGGCATCGTCATGGCTGGAGCAGAAATACTGGCTTCCTGTACATAGAACACAGGTGTGCCCAGCTGTGGCTCTGTTTTTGGAAGGGCTGAGTTCTCCAAACCTTGATCCAGAAAGCAGGCAGCATTTGTGCAGCCATTTTTTTCAGCACCTGGAACAGCTCCCAGCACTGAGCTGGTGACAAGTGTCTGTGCTGGGCACTGATGGGGTTGGAGACCCAACACCTGCTATCTATCTGATGGTCCTTGTTCATCAGAGGGTGCTGCTTTCTCCCCAGATGTGCGGGTAACCCACCCGCCCTCAGTCTCTGTGGTGTGCTGCCTCCTTGTCCCCTTTGTCTAGTACTTGAGCCTAGCCTCTAGCCGTGGCCACCTCCTGCTATCCTGGGATGACTGGCGACCTAGAAGGTCTTTAGACAACAGAGTGCTGGTTAGGGTAATCCACCCTGATTGGCTGGCAGGAACTGTGGAGGAAAGCAGCCAGCATTGGCCAATCCAGAGGCTTCAGGATGAGATGTCCACACCAGGAAAGGCTGTGAAGCCATATGCCTGACGGACTGTGACTGGGTGGGTGGCAATGTGGAGGATGGAGAGGGGTCCTCATCAGTGTGAAATTCACAGGGATTGAGGATGTGGAAGTGACAGACTGGCTGTGTGATGTTGTGCTGGGGTCATGTCCCAGGCATGCATGTGGCACATCTTGGCAGTTCCCTGTGAAAGGAGTCTAGTGTCTCCTAGGCAACTGTCATGGATCTTCACCATGCTGTGTGCTCGGATGCTGGGCACAATGCTAAGGACCCTGGGGCTGAGATCTGTTTTTAGGCTCTTGGCCTCCTGCTGACTGCTTGTTAATCGACCTGCTGTGCAGGCTGAGGGGGTGTGACAGCTCCAGCTGGGTGCAGGTGCAGGTGCAGGTGCAGGTGCAGGATACAGGCCGCACACATAGGAGAACTTGGCTGGCAGGATGCCTCTGACCTTGCCTTCCTTACAGCAGAGTTCTGTCTTTTGGGTTCATGTCAAACAAACTGAGATGAGTGAGGAGGGAGTGGCAGAGGACACCGAGGACAGTGTCGGCATCAGCAGAGGGCAACTACACCACCAATGCATGGCCGGCCCCGTGCCCGAGAGTTCTGATGCTACCCTGGGGCTAAAGAGAGCTGCTTTTGCTTGCTATACTTGCTATTTCTTTCCTTCCTTCCTTCCTTCCTTCCTTCCTTCCTTCCTTCCTTCCTTCCTTCCTTCCTTCCTTCTTTTTCTTTTCTTTTTTGACAAGGTCTTACTGTTTAACTTAGTCTAGCCTCAAACTCACTTTATAGACCAGGCTGGCCTTGAACTCACAGAGATGCTCTGCCATCTGCCTCCCAAGGGCTGGGATCATAGGTGTGTACCACCACAAATGGCCTTTGCTTGCTGTTTCTCTGTGGCTGCCTCTCTCTTCTCTGTGGCTGGTAATTCCCAATGGCTTTGTGCATCTCCCAGGACTGAGCACTAACTCCATGCATTGAACAGATTTCTCCTGGTTGGGAAGGAACTGCAGACAGGGAGAGTGCTCACACGCATGTTTTAGAAGGCGTAAACACCTGGGGAACTCTCAGGAAGGAAATGTAGGTTTATTTATTTTTTTCTTTTTGAGATAGGATCTCACTGGGTAGTTGGGGCTGCCTTGAAATCACAATCTTCCTGCCTCATCCTCCTGGGCACTGGGATTAAGAGTGTGCTGCCACACTTAGGTCCAGGAGTCCCTTGAGTTTGTTTTCCTGCCTGTTAATCTGGAGCTGTGTCATAAGAAAAACTGAAATAAGAGGGGCTTCACCCTCATAGTCAGAGAAATGTAAATTGAGGCAAGCATCTTTTTTTTTTTTCACCATTTCATGTCATTCTTGGTGCACGGAAGTGGACATTCTATTGTTGATGGCTAAGTGTGTTTATAGGATAGTGTATCATTTCCTTGTGAAAATTTTAAAGTGCAAAGAATCCAAGTATGCTACATGTCAAAGTACTGGGTTAATATATGTTCAAAGAATTTATCCTATAGAAACACCCATTTGTGAACCCATACAATTTTATAGTGACTAGCTTTTGGAATCTCTACAGCAGACAGTTTAAACATCATGGGCAGACACTTAGTAGCCTGTAGCCACATGTGTCTAAGGGGCCCTGCAGGCCAGGACTGGTACAGATGAATCTAGTTATGTTAAAGGCCCAGGGCAATTATTCATATATACTCATGAAAATGAGACACATTGCATTTGGGTGTGCAGAGGCGAGGCATAGAGAATATGCATGCAGTGGTTGCCCCTTGTGTCTCGTGGTGCAGAACCCACAGTGCCCCACATGGATGAGTATGTGGCTGAGACACTGGCTGGTGGAAGTAAAGCCATGGCGGTCTGGCCAGGAGGTACAAACATCCACCTCTGAATGCGTCCAAGGCTGCTTTTAGGCTGAGACCCACCCTCCTCTCTCTTCTTCTCCTAGTTGGTGGCGGCCATTGTCTTCATCAGTTTTGGTGTCGTGGCGGCCTTCTGCTGTGCCATAGTCGATGGCGTGTTTGCAGCACGGCACATTGTGAGTACCACCTTCCACTGGTGCAGTCTGTCTCTAGGGCTCAACGTCCATGTGGAAAACAAAACTTGTCACAGGGCCCAACTCTGACATCTTCACACTGGCTTCAACCAAGCTGCCACAGCTGGCCTTCCTTTTCTTGCCGAGTCTGACTCTGCAACTCGAAGCCTCAGCCTCCCACAGGTCACACACATAAGCGACACAGTAAGCGCAAACACAAACCCCACACAGAAGGCACAAATAATAGCCACACACAGCAAATACAAATACCACACACAGCAGGCACAAACACACATGCCACACACAGCAGACATAAACACTACCACACACAGAAGGCACAAACACCCGCCATACACAGAAGACACAAACATATACCGGGAAGTCCACTGGGGAAGAAGGATCTGAGTCTTGTCATATTGTGATGAAGACCGTATAAATCTGACCACCCTGAAGCTAGCTCTCTACCTGTCTTCACTGACTCCTTGTATCTCTAATCGCTATCCTGCCTGCTCCCCTCATGTACCACCTGGTGCCAATAGGCCTACCTCCTGTCTGAACCCATCCACGCCCAGCCTGGCATACAGGTGCTATGCTCCACCATCGCTGCTGCCTGTGACTCCTGAGTTACTCTTTGTCTGCTGCCGGAATGACTCGTGGTTTCTAGACACCTCTTAGGTCAGGAGAAGTGGTTTGAGAGACCCCACTGATACACAGTAAAGAACCCAAAGAAGCATTTCTGGATTATATGGCTTCTATGGCACTTCACAGGTCCAGGCACAAGCTGCCTTCTGCCTTAGCAGCTGTAGAAGCTGCCCTGCTTGGCGCTCCACCCCAATTCACTCACCCACAGCTCTCCCTTTCCTTGGCTTCCTCGGGGTTCCACACTGTGTTGGGTCCATGAATGTCAGGGACACAGGAGTGGGGACGCGGTGAGCTAGGAATGGATGAGCTCATGTCAAGGGGTGGGGTGTGGCAAAGAGACAGAGGCTTGAATGACGACTGGAAGAATAGATGGGGAGTCTGGATGAATGAGTGGATCAGTCCCAAATCTTCCTTCTTCCCTTCCTAGTAGAAGGAACTCATTTTGCTTTTAGGAAGAGAAAAGCCTAGTGCCCCTGGCGAGGTATAGAATACCTCTTTGCCCATTCAGTCCCATTCCCCTTGTCCCTGTGCTGATGTGTGTGCCCAGCAGATAGATGGAGGATGTCTGTAATTCTCTCTTCAGCAACCTTCTGGATGCCACACACAATACTATGGCATGCAATAATTCTTGTGGCCTTGGTTCAGCTCCAGTCCGTGGACAGTAAGCATGAGATGGCCACTCCGGTTGGTGATGACCAGTCTACTCATCTACATTTATTTCTCTAGGAACCTAGGCCTCTCAGCACAGGACGGTGCCAGTTTTACTCCAGTGGGACTGGGTACCTGTATGACGTCTATCAAACAGAGGTGAGCCCCTTTGGGCAGTGTGGCTTCCATATCCCCCCAAGTCTTCTGGGTCTGATTAAAATGGCTGTCTTGGTTCTCACAGAACATCCCATTGCGTGGGTATCAAGGCGTTGACAGCTAGGAGCTAGCCTTGACAGTCCAATGCACAGTGCCGTTCTCGGGAACCGCAGCTGCACACTTTCCTCTTGGACACAGCGTTAGGGCTCATCCGTCCAGGGCTGTGTGGTCAATTAGCATTTCAATTAGCATGTTCACTGATTTAATCACTGCGACAACACATATGCAGTGTTCAAGGACTGGGGACAGCTGTAGCGTGACCTCACTCTTTTGTTAAGTGAGATGCCAGGAAGGACAAGTGTGCACAGCAGCTGACCTATGACACCAGCCCAGGTGGGCGCTGGCATGCGGCTCAGTTGGACTGTCTACACCAACACTATGGGGATGTGTGTGCTTAGATAAATAAGGCTGCTCACACAGAGTGCCAGTGCCAAGTAGGGGCAGGAATCAGCAAGTGGGTACCAGATTCTCATCTCGGTCTGTTCTTGGGGTCTTCAGACCTGCAGAACACTGAAAAGGCATGTGCTGGACATTCCAGAAACGAGATGCCAATGTTAGGTGCTTGGGGGATGTGGGTGGGGATTCTGACAGCCCTGCCTTGCCCAGTCCTGTTCTGATCTGCCTAGTGCTGTCCTATCCAGTCCCATCTTGCCCTGCTCTGCCCAGTCCGGTCCTATGTCCTGCCCTGCCCCACCCTGCCAGGAGTCAGAGAAGGGTCCTGGTAGTGCAGCCCTGCTTCTGGTCAGGGCAAGGTCTTGGACCCAGGCTGCCTGCTGTCTATGCAGAATAAAGTATGGACCTGCCTGTCTCTGCCCCAGGTCACCTGCTACTCCCTGAGCGGAAGGTGCCAGCTGAGAGTGAGGAGCAACACCTGCTATTGCTGTGACCTCTATGCTTGCGGGAGGTAAGGCACATCAGGAGCCCGTGCGCACCCCCCCCCCACCTGCACCCATTTCTCCTTTCCTATATCTACTTGTGTTTTCTACGTCTTTCTCTGGATCTAGTTTCAGCAGTGAAAAAGTGGATTCTGAGTGATCGGGCCACCACCCAAGAGCACACACAGAGTGTGGAAGTTCTGAAACCTGGCCTGGCCCCTGTTTGTCACACACTTGAGGCAGTTGACTATCAGGTGGCCACCAGTACATCCCAGTCCTGCTCCCTCTCAGGGGTGAGACCCACCTGCAGCTTTCTGTTAGGATAGGATACACATGGAAAACGGGAACACAAAATGCTTGCTTATTAATTTGGCATGGGAGGTAGCTCAGCCACCATCCTAGCTGGCTATTAAGGGTCCAGGGTTAGTGAGTTGGAATATCCTGTGTCCACTTTCCACTGCATTGTGAGGCCTGGTGGAGACTCCTTGGCCAGCCCCATCAAAGGTAGATGGATCCTCAGAGAAGTAGAGAGGTCTCTAACTCAGTGTAGGGCTGAGACTAGATTAAAACTGTCGTTGGGCTCCGGTTGTGATTTAGGGTCAGAGCTATGATTAGCTTTGGATCTAGGTTAATCCTATTGTTAGATGGCATTGATGTTTGGCATTAGGGTTATGGCTATGGCTATGCTTAGGTTAAGTTTAGGGCTAGGATATGGGTTAGGGTTGGTTACAGGATTGTGGTTATATTTGGAATTAAGTCTGTGGTCATATTTTGTTTGGGACCATAGAGATATATGAAAGGTTAGGGTTGATATTGGAGTTGAGGTTTAGGAGCTAGGATTAAGGTTAGGAGTTAGACATTAGGGTCGAGAAGTTTTGTTCTAGTTTTGGGTTAGAGCTAGGGTTGAAGTTTGGTTAAGGGATAGGGCCAGGACTTGTCCTAGGTTTAAATCTGGGGCTGGCACTGGCTTGTAGGTATGGTTATGGTCACAGTTAGAGTTTAGGATTAGAATTGGTTTTGGAATTAGCTTTGGAATTGTGTTGGTTTCTGAATTCTGGTTTAAGATTGGTGTTAGGTTTGACACTGGATTTAAACTTAGTTGTGGGATTAGTGGTTATTGTTGGGATAACCTAGTGAAGGTTTAGCTTGGGTGGTGTTAGGGTACTGGGTGTGATGAGGGCTAGGATTTGTCTTAGAGTTGGGGTTCAAGGTTATGTTGTATGTAGGTTTACTGTGAGGTTAGGGTTAGGGATGATGTTCTGTATGGGGTTTAGGGTAAGGGCTGTATTTGAATTTGAGGGTTAGTTTTAGAGTGATGTTTAAGAGTTAGGGTGGTTGTTGGAGCTTTGTGTTACTGGAGTTATGGTTTATGTTATATTAAGATACAATACATGTTAAGGTTAAGCTTAGGTTTACAGCTGGGTTGGGGTTAAACTTAAAGCTGGGATCCAGAACTATGGCTGGGTTTAGGTTGTTATTGGTGCCATAGTTAGGATTAGTGTTGGAATGGGTTCAGTGTTAGAATTGGATTTAGGTTCAGGGTTATTGACAGGCTAGTATTGGAGGGTTAGCATGCGGTTGGACATTCAGATTATGACTAGTGTTAAGGGTAAGGCTATAGTTAGGACTGGTGTTTGGTGTTGGTGTTGAGTTTAATAGTCTTGGGTCTATGGTTAAGGTAAGAGTCAAAGTTATTGAGTTGGGGGTTGGATGTGCTGTAACACAGTCAAGACCACAGTCTTGTGGTTGTGCTTGGTCTGAGGGCATAGGAGCATAGGCTAGGGGTATATTGGAGTTGGGGTTAGGGTTAATGTTAATGCTAGGGATTCTAGGGGTAGTTTTGGAATTAGGGTTTATTCTTAGGTTTAGGGTTTGGCTTAATGGTAAAATTTAGATATGGATAGGACTATGGTTTGGTTTTGGTTTGGTGTCAACTTTAGGATTATGCTATGTGAAATTTTATATATGGTTAGGGCTGTGATTGTGGTTAAAATTAGGAATTTGTCAGCATTATAGTTAAGATTAGAGATAAGGATAGGACCAGGGTTAGGGTTAAGTTTTGGTTTGGATTGGGGCCCTGATAGGTTTAGGGTTAGGGCTATGACTGTGATATATTTAGGCTTTGGGCTTAGGTTGTGTTTGGAATTATAGTTTTAAGGCTATGAATATCACTTGGCTGGACATTTAATTGGGTAAGTTTTGCGGCTGTGTCATTTTATAGCCATGACTACCTCTAGGGCTATTTTTGCCTTGTTAGGGATTAGTTTTTCTTCAGGGAAGCAGTGTTTGGTTGTAGCTATTTTTATGATTGGAGTTATATATTTTTGGGGGTGTGTGTCAAGACTACTTCTATCTAGCTTTAAGGTTATAGTTGGGGATTATGTCAGCAGAAAGACTGCCTAAAGCCCCACTCTACCCTCTCCCTTCAAGAGTCAGAGTGGCCCAAAGTCTCCTGGGTTCTCTGGCTTGGAAACTGAGGGCTTACGTGACTCCTTTACTAACCTCCCACCAGCCTGCACTGCCCCAGTGGTAATGTTCATGACTGTGGCTCTAAGTTAGGAGCCTCATTGGTTAGATATAGCTTTAATTCATAGTATGGTCTACTGACCATGGCATGATGTCCTGGGCTGTTGCCTGGCAACAGTTCCTGCACATAGGTTAGTTCACTGGCCACAGTCCTAGCATTCAATGATTGTCATCTAATCACAGATATACTTGGGGGTGATCACCTGACTATGGCTGTCACTTGGCCATGCTCTAGCAATGAGAGCAGTAACTTGGTCTTCTCTCTTGTAGCACAGAGGCTTCTCCTGCCTACTATGAATTTGTGGGTGTGCGTAGCTGCCAGGATGTGATCCACCTGTACCGGCTGCTCTGGGTGTCCACGGTGCTGAATGTTCTGGGCCTGTGCCTTGGCATTATCACGGCTGCAGTCCTAGGGGCCTTCAAGGACATGGTGAGTAGTACTGTCCTACGGCCCCCTTGACAAAGGATCTAAACACCCAAGCAATTCTGCAAGTCAGATGGCAACCAGGGTTACCAATCCCTTGCCTTGGAAACAGTGCTTAGCCACCGGCTGCTTCAATCTTCTCCCACCCTCTTAGGCAGGCAGAACTTGTTGCCAGCTAAAGATCGAAACTCGTCGGCAAAGCTAGTCTGTCACTGTGAGGGTCCCGGTTGCCTGGGTGTGGTTCTGGCAGGGACTGGACACAGTTTGAACAAGCTGAATGAGAAAACTGAAATTCACCCGTATATAATTCTCTCTGAGCCAGTCCCACTGACCCTGCCCTTGAGCTTGGGCCTGCTACCTTCCTATCACTGGGTAGACTCTTCCTTATGTCCTTTTGGGGTCCATGGCAACTTCAGGGGTTCTTCTGGATCCACAGGATGCCAAACACTTTCTGGGTGATTCTTCCTGTGCTTATCCTGGTGTCCCAGGGGCTCTGGCCTTTGGTTGCAGCCCAGAAGTGCCACTTAGCTCTTTGTCTCGGGTTTCTTATTGCTGGGGAGATTTAGGGATGTCTTGTTAGGCCCTGAATTCCCACAGTCTAGTGCTTGGGCTCTGCCTGGCTGCCTCATCCGATGGTCGCTCCAGGTAGTGACTCTAACCCGGAGACCATATGTAGAGGATGCATGAAGGACAGATTGGCCTGTTCTTCATGGCTTGGGTTAGGACTCCCCAGACGGCCAAGCTGTGGGTCTGAATCCTGCCTTGAATGGATTTGAAGGAACATGGACTTAGGTGGTCACTTCCCTTTTCTTCACAGGTCCCCCTGTCTCAGATGGCCTATGGCCCAACTCCGCCACCTCAGATCCTCTACAACCCTGCCCAGCAGATCCTGGCCTACACTGGCTTGTGCCCTCCATCTATGACTGTGCCAACCTGTTCCTCCTACCCTCTGCCGCTTCAGGTAGGCAAGTGTTACCTGCTGGGGTTGGGTGTGTCACCGAGTGATTGGTTGTTTCTGTGGATTTCTGAGTAGACAGGGTAGGGCTACGCATAGAGAGGGTGTGCTTTGACATAGATGATGGGGACTGGGATCGTTATGGGGTCGGTCATGTCTTTGCAAGGTGCCTTGCTGCCCACGGCCCTAGTAACCCACAAAAGCATGCTTCCTTCTGGAAGAACTATCTTTGCATACACTGTTTTTAGCTGTTTTATACACTGCTTATCTTAGCCACGAACTGGCCTTTTACAGGTCAGGGAGACTGAGATGCCACTGGCTACCTGGATTTTGAACACTTGTATGACATTGAGTATTCTAAGTGGAGCCAGGCGCATGCCAACACTCTCTGAAATTTATCTGCAAAGCCAATAACCCTATAGGGGCTCATGTGCCCCGCACATGTGAACTTGAGGCCATCAGGAGAGGGGTCTGGAATAAGATCTTGTTTGAACAAGGCTTGCCTCTATTCCACTCTTAGCATTGACTTGTTCGTGTCCTATAAAGCTCTGGTAGACATGTATAAAAGGGTCCCGGTTGTCTAATGGCACTATATTGACTTGCACTTGGCACTGGGGATGTGTGATCCTCTCGGCTTGCATCTTAGCACTGTGAGGTGTCAGGCAGGCCATGTCCTCTTCCTACCTACGCTGAAACCCCTCGTCATGAAAGCCAAACCATTTGCAGGCGTTGCCCAGTGTCTCCTGTGGGGAGGTTGAGAATCCAGGTCTAGACAAACCTTCTAGATGGGGTAATGCCCTACTCACGTAGGCTGGCTGCTTGGTGACTTGTCTTATGGCCCTAACAGAAGCAGTTATGAGCCTCAGGGCTGTGCCGAGTATATCTGTGTCATCACACTATGCTGAAGTGAGTCTCTTTGGCCCGTGGGCCCAGGTGAATGCGGTTACGTCATTTGTTTTGAAGTCACATGTCCTCGGGTATTCCCCATGAGACCTGCACCTAGTGAGTCACACTGAAAGTTGAGGCCTTGCCAGGCAAAGTGACTGTTTGGGGGGGGTGTGTGGCTCGAGTGTCAAGCTCTGACCATCTCAGATGGAGAAAGCTGTCAGGGCCCCGGGGCTGACCCTATAGAGTAGCCAGGTGGGAGTAATGCTTGCGGGTCTCTTGACCATCCCGGCTCCACATATGTGAAGTGGGGGCTGGACGAAGGCTTGGGAACCCCAGTATCTAATACAGACAGCTTTGTTCTGTTTTCCAGGGCTCACTCTGGTGCCCCGGACTCATGTGAGGTCACTGTACTGCCGTTGCCCCCCTCCAAGGGCAGGGCCCTTTTCTCTGTGCTTCAGCTTCCTCTGCTTACCTGAAAATGAAGCTGGGGCTGTAATCCATGAATTACTTGGGTCCTTTGGGGTCTGGAGGAAGGATGCCGCAGTGCTCCATGGCAGTGTTGGGTACTGGGTCTGGGCTCTCAGTGTGATACCCCCAGGCTGTGCTAGTGGGACTTCCCAAAGGGAACTGGACCCTCGTCCACTGGAGTCACAGGGACCCCAAATCAGGGAATGTAAGTCCCTGTGGGTAAAGCCTGCCTCAGGACCAAGTCTCCCCTCTCTGGAACATCAGAAGCAGGTATGTCTAGCTACGTCTAGGAAATGAGATGGTTCAAAGGTACTAGCCGGAGTAGCGGCCACTCCAAGGCCTCAGCCCTTCATAGAACTTTCTGTGTTGGCCTGGAGAAGGATCTCCCTAATCTTTAGCCCAGGAAGGACACTATCCTCTGAGGTCACGGTTCATCCTGGACCTGCTCTCTTCTCCAGGTAGTTTGTCAGATCCACGTGAGACTCTTAGGACTATCTCTGGGTAGACCTGGTGGGGCTCCCTGAGCCGGTCTGGCTGCCTTTGGACACAGAGCGACTAAATCACATAGATGCCAAGAACACAACTCCAGAGCACAGCCTGTGCAGCATGCGACTCTCCACAGGGAATGTGGGGCTCCATTCCATCCTACCTGGTGTCTAGTGTATCTGGGCCAGTCCTGGTGCCTGTCCGCCTCTCTGTCTTGAAGCCCTGGCCTGGGGAAGCAAGGACCCCTGTGGAGGGGCTCCCAGCCTGCTCTCACAGAAGTGAGATTCCCTTTCCATGTTGAAAAGGACAAATGCCCCTTGTGGTGGTGTATAGGCGACAGTCCTTTACCATGGGCACACTCTGGGAACCTGGAAGATGACCTGCCAATTCCCATCGGTGCTCCTCTTCTGCCTTCTGGAGTTTTGTAGATAGTGGATGGTTTCCTTCCTCCCAGAGGAGGCCTGAGACCCTCTGGGCTGAGCAGCTTTCCCGGCAGCTTGTGTGGGAGTGTAATTGCCACATGTGCTTGGTAATCAGATTTCTGGGGACCAGGCGTATCAGATGAGCCTGTGTTTCCTAAGGAATGGATGCTGTCGCCATTGGTCAGCAGATGGAAGGAGATATTTTAAGTGTCCTGTTGAAGTCATTAGCAGCCAGCAAACATCCCTGAATATTAGGAGGGAGTGAGATGGCCGTGTGGGGGTGTTTTAGGAAGTTAGAAGAAAAACTTTAAATGGGCCTGTGCCAACACCCAGTAGTTTGCCCAGCACGACACTAAGGTCAGCCTGAACGGTATTGTGGGGGTGATCCTCTCCATGTGGGCAGGGCCTGCCTTAATGCGCCTTGTTTAGTGAGGTGGTTTCATCTGAGGTTCCTGGTGGTTTATCCCGCAGTTCCTGGTGGTTTAACCCACGGTTCCGGATGGTTTATCTCACAGTTCCAGATGGCTTATCTTGAAGTTCCTGGTGGTTTATCTTGTGGTTCCTGGTGGTTTATCCTGAGGTTCCTGTAGCTTGCGCTGTGGTTCTTAAGGGCTTGCTTTATGGTTTGTGTATTCACTTATTTTCAGAAAAGAGCAGAACTGACAGGGGTGGGAAGCCCATCCTAGCAGACCTAAAAGGATGACCTTTAGACATGCATTGGTCCCTGTGATTAGAGGAATGCATATACAGATTTGAGGGTGAAACAAGAGAAAATTCCTGAGCCCACAGTTGAATTTTTTGTGACAATCATCTTGGGTTGTCACATGACTGCCCAGCATGACACTAAGGATGAGGGAGACCTCAGCCTCAGCCCTGCCTTGGGAGGAAACGTTTGTAGGGTGGCCATGCTGCCAGAGCCTGACTCCAGCACCAGGAAGACGAGTTGGCTGCTTAGGAGCACCACATGGCAAACAGCCAGCAGGAGTACCACACCATAGCATACAGCAGGCACTTTAAAAATCTCAGTTCGGAATTTGTTTTTTAAATACCGATTTTAAGTTTTAAACTTCTAGTACTTTAGAAAAGATTTACTTTAGATCTGTGCTGTTCCCCAAATTCCTCTTCTCACGTGAACTCATGCTTGATTTTGGGAGGGTGTCTGTTGGGGTTCTTCAGAGACAGAATACAAGGTGTATTTATGAGGGATTTGTTTTAGTGACTGACTCTCATGAGTGTAGGAGGGGCCGGTCCACTATCCTCAGGACCAGGGAAACACTGGGAACTGTAACCCACGGTCATACACGGGCAGGATTTCTTTCTCCTTCAGGGTAGCTGCCTTTTTTTCTTAAGGTCTGCAACTGATTGGAGCAGACTCTCCAACAGTAAGGAGCTGTTCAAATGTTAGTTACATCTGAAAACTAGCTTCCTTAAACATCTAATCTACAGCTGACCACATTTATAGTCACTGACCTATGAACCCCTCTGCTGTGCTGGGGTGTTAATGATCTTGCTCTCTTTGGTAAGTGCCCAGCATCTGACTCTAGGCCATCCTGGCTCTTCTAATCACTGCTAGTAAAAATTGACTAGGTTAAGTAGGCCAAGGAAGTCTGGAGCTTTGGAGACCTTTCCTGGGGGTCCCAGCAGCCTTAGAAGCCAAGTTTGTGCCATTTGGGGACCGGATAGGGTGACACTTGACCTCTCTTGGCTGTTCCTGGGCCTGGAAGGCTTCCTGGGGGTCCCGGTGAGCAGGTAGCTCCTGGTCTGGTAGGATACCAGGCCAACGTGATACTGGCATATATGCTGGAGGGCGTAGTTGAGTCCTCCCACCTGCTGACCGAGGACACCTCTCTGTTTAATTGCAGCCCTCCAGTGCCCTGTCGGCCTCATCCTCTGCTGACCTCTCTCGGCCTGAGGACACAGCGTCTCCCTCCCAGTGCAACTCCAGCCATGGGCCTTCTCCTAATGCTCCTTCACTCTGCACACCAACCTACTTCCTCCCCGGGGAGAAGCCTCCCCCCTACGCACCCTGACACGGAGGTAGTACATCTAAAAGTAACACTTGGTTTGGGGTTGCCAGAAATAAAACAAAACTAATAAAAAAAAACCACATCCAGAAAGCATGCCTCTGCAGCCAGCCTCAGAGAATTTAGAAGTATCTGGAAGCTGAAGCTGTGCACTTTCTTCTCTTGGACACGCCCTCTGCCAGCACAGGCCAGGAGCAGAGGCGGAAGCAGAGTCAGCTGTCTGGCCCAGTGCCATCTCTGCTGTCCCCTCTCCCACATGAGACCCTAGCCTCGCCATCCAGAAGGGCTTCTCTGCACCTGCGTCATTCTGTTTCACCTCTAGTCTTGGTTGGTTCTCAGTTGCTATTTTCTTGCCACGCAAGGGTAGCCAGTCACCTCTGGTAAAGATTGTTCCTTCAGGAAAGGCATCACAGGTTGACAGACTTTCGTGAGCATGTCCCTCAGGAGGAAGAGACCAAACCCCTTCTGTGCGTATGTTCTGAGAAGGACCAGAGAGAACCCTGAGCTCTGCTTTTCCGATGCGGGGGTGGGGGATAAGCTTGAGCAAACACCCAAAGTTACTTCTAGAGACCTTTGAGTTCTGCCTCTGCAAGATCCACCTTTTGGCAGACTCAGAATCTCATATTCATTTCCCTCGTGGTGCTCTGCTGATTTGTTGCTACTGGCTCATTCATTGGCTAGCTGTTGTGTGGACACTGGGGCCTTTCTTCCCCTCTCTGTGAGGTCCAGAACTAGCAGGTGGGGGTAGAGAGGACCAGCCTGTGACGATGCAGCTCCTGTGCCCCCTGCTGGTCAAGGCCACTCTGTCCAGTAGATCTCACCCAGGCAGGCTAGAGATATTTTCTAAATAGGGTTTCCCACAAAGGCCCACAACACAGGAAGCTGACAGGTCTGTCTGTGGAGATGTGCCGTAAACCCGAGAACTGCTTACCCATCCCTGAAGGGCTGAGGCAGCCATTGGTCTGAGGACTGGTCACTTGGCCTTGCAGCCTGAGAAAGCAAGTATAGTGGTTTCTATTTGATGCTGGCTGACCTTGGATCCAGCATGATTGTGCTTTCCTAGAACTTCCAGGAACCTGACCTTAGCCTCCCTAGACCAATATCAAACAATATTCTGCCAATTTATATTTATACCAATGTATATACTAGGCTATTTAATATCTCTTAGGACCACAGTTTCAGAGGCATTTGTGAAAGTCTCCTAAGAATTACACTTGGAGGCAGCAGGACAAAATCGTCTCTGGACTTTAATGGGGGGGGGGGGGGCTTTGGCACTGCTTCTTAATGGGGCCGGGGGCCAGCTGGCTCTGTCCCCTGCCTTGCGTCTACCCAGAGTGCACAGTTAAGCAGATCTCACAAGGGGCATAGACATGCCACAATACTGGCTGTAGAAGAAGGGTGTCCTGCACAGCAATGGCAAGATTCCTGTCACGTGTAAGCGTGAGGTTCAGGAAGATGAGGTTGACCAGATGCACAGGAGGCATCCTTGCTGAAGCCACACAGTGGGTGTCTTTTCTACAGGATTGGGACAGAGGGCACCTTGTCTGTGTAGTGAGTGTACAGAGAAGAGCCAGGCTCTGGAGGCTGATGGGTGCAGGGTCCTGCCCCCCCCATCTACTTTTATATTACACTACCCCAGTTTAATATTCAGTCCCGTGTACTGGGCCCAATGGGCTTGACCTCTGAACTTCCTAAACTGGCCCCCGGGACTCTGAAGAACAATAAAACTGCAGTGAGCCCATGCTCACTGGAGCCAAAAACTACGAAACATTGCATGCCAAGGTCAACATTTGTGTTCATTGCCACAAAAATGTCTTTCTCCCTTGTCTCCGGCAGAGAATGTAAGGCCCTGTACCCTAGTCTCCAGAGCTGGCCCCACAAACCACACTAACCTGCAGTGCGGGCAGAAACTCTTGAGTGTCCTGCCTTCATGTGGACAAGGCTGGGAAGCCAGCTGGGGCCTGCATGCTTGGTGGCTCTGGACCAGGTCCTGATGACTTTGCCTCTTTGAATGTCACCCGAGGGTCTGCTCTGTGCTTGGCTTCTGTGCTGGTTGGTGAGATTTGTTCTCGGTCACCTGCTTTGTCGTGGAATTGGTCACTCGCATCTGCTTTTGGGATGATGTAAGATATGCTTGTCCCGAGTCTGTGGTATGGTGAGTGTGCGTGGGTATGAATGGGGTGGGTCATGCCCACTAGTGAGAGACGCTGAGCTCTTCTGCTTACCGGATCAGCCTGCCTGAATCAGGGTTCCACTTGCACCATCTCCTCTGTGGGTCACAGCCACTATAGCTTTGCTTCCTCAGCCCCAGTTATCAAGAGCTTGGTAGTGGATGACATGGCCACAGATATGCCCCGGTGTGCACATCCTTGTTGGTCAGCAGGGAATGTTTTACTGGGCCTGCTTGGGTCTCATACTTGCTTCTCTCTCACGTGGTCACTCTTAGGTTTGTAGGAAGTTGTCTGTTCTGGAAAGGGACCCTGCGATCTTGGGTGTCTCCAATACCTTCCAGCTAGAACACATTGCTTTCCTTCATGTTTAAATGGAGATCTGCAGGCTTTGTGTTGAGAAATACAGTGAAACTGGTCTCCTGCCCTGAAACTGCTTTCTAAAAGGTGACTTTGCCCTAGGTACATTTGGAAAAATCTAGAGACATATTTCTTTATCAGACTATGTCTGAGGGAGGATGTGGTGCTGACAAGCTGCCTGAATGCATGGTAGGGTCCCAGGCTGAAGAAAACAGCCCCAAGGATACAATGAAAAATGTAAAAGTTCATCCCTAGAAAAAGAGCTTTGCAATGAATTCAGGTGATAAAGATCATAGTATCATAGTCCATCCTACCTCTTCCCCTCGTCTTCCCTCAAAAGGTTCCTGGTACCCCCCTGGGTGTCCTTGTAGTTTGGCCACTTGGGCCCAGGGAAGTGAGGATCCCATGGCAGGCAGCTGACAGATGATTACTGCTTTATTTGGCAGGAGATGGTAGAAGGTTTGGTGCCAGCCAAGGCTGAGGATGGGTGCAACATCAGGGAGGAGAGGTGTCTGCTCTTCCCACAGTGTTGTTGCCTCCTTAGGGCAGATAAGGAATGCCAAGTATGTGGCTGCCCCCCACTACCCTTGTCTGTGTGGTCCAGCTCCAAACCAGCATTTGTCCTGCTCTGTTCTTGGCCTCGTGACCTCCTGGAGAGATCTGGGGCTGCTTGGAGGACACTCATGAGAACATTCCATGAAAACATTCCAGAGTTGCCTCCAACACATGGAAAAACCACTGAGGTCTAGGGGATGCTGCTTCTCCAGTTTAAATAAGATGTGGGCTTCTATGGCTGCCTGAGGACAAACAGAGGCAGCTGGGAGTCCCAGGCAGGGCTCTACTTCCTACCTTCTTGGAGTTGTGTTCAACAGTGTTGTTTCTATCTTCACCATAACTTACAGGATGCTGGAGTTAAAATCAGCGGCTCCTAGCTCCTTCCCTTATGAAGAAATGGTAGCTCAGAGACACTGGGCTGCTGTTTCTTGTGTCTCTGCGGCCCAGGGAGGGTGCAGTTCCCTCGGCTCTGCTCGCAGAGCAGCCTTGGAACAGAAAACCAGACCTTTTCTTTTAAATGGAACAGGGGCAGCCAAGAGAGGCAATGGAGAGTACAGGGAGAGAAGGGAGATTCTGTATAGGTACCACCCCTACATCCTGGCTGCCAGGGACAGCGTTAAGAAGAGTTCTCTCTGTGGGGGCTGATGCAGAGGTGTGTAGGACTGTCTCCATTTGCAGAGAAAGCTGAGGTTCGGCAGCTTGCTGGTGAAGCCAGTCCCAGCCCTTGCCCTCATCCATGTGAGGAGAGGCTCCTGCCATAGTCCACAGCTGCCTGTACTGGGACACAAGGATCCCAGGAAAGGCCCGTCCAGCTGTGGGCCTGTGCCATGATGCTCTCAGAGCCCATTCACCCCAAACGCAGCACAGTCCTGAGACACGCCCAGGACAGACTGTGACCAACCCAGGGTTAAAAAGGTTTCTGTAAATTTTTATTTTTCCATACTTTAGAATCAGAAAGAAGCATGTGGTAATAAAAATAACAGAATTATTTTCTTCAAATCCACTCAGCTGCAAATTGCCAGCCCTCCAGCCCAACCCTTCCTAGCCAGCTCCCAGCAGGCCAAGGGGCTCTAGGAGCAGCCAATGACCTGATACCAGTCCCCTTATGTACATATATATATATACAAGGCAAAGAAATATCTCAAAAAAAGACAGCCCCAAGGGCAGTAGCCCACCTGCTCCAGTGTTGCCGGACCTGCTCGGGAGGAGCCAGTGTGTCCATACCTCCGCTTCCCTTTGCCGTTGGGAAGGTGCAAAGGCCTCTTGTGCATGGCTGCTAGAGCGTGGCATGCTCCACAGGTGGGCAGGAGTGTGAGGTGATGTCACTGTGCTTGTAGGAGGCCTCGTCCAGGTCCAGGGTCTTCTGGTTTACCTCTAGGGTCATGCATCCACGGTAGAATGCCGTGACGGGTGCAGAAGTCACTGGGACATCTGAGCAGAAATCCAGGGAGTCCCACTTACCATCCTCTCTCTATTGTTATGACCAGCCCTGCCTGCATTCTCTCCGCAGGGCATTTGCTCATGGTACCATCCCTGGGGATACAGATCTGTACAGGCCATACAGCATCTTTACCCCTCAACCTCCCAGGCACACATACATATGGTCTGTCTTCACTCCTTAAACTCCCCTCCCAGGCACGCATGCATATTGTTTGTCTGCCTTGTGAGTTCCCATGCTTCAGGGCCTCGGGCTCCTTATCTCCCTTGAAGCCTTATTGGTTATAAGAAAAAAAAAAAAAGGTCAGAGAGCTTGTTTGCTAAAAGTAGTGCCTGCAAGAGGACTCAGGCCTCTCTATAGCTATCATCCCCTGTTCCCCCTGTGGGTCCTGTGTAAGGTGGCTGCTTCTGGTAGATGTAAGAAGGGCTGGCAGATGCTGTCAGCTATGAAGGCTGCAGATCTCTGGCAGCAGTAGCTAGTTACCTGACTCTTGCATCACCTGCTAACCCTCCCCTCTGTGTTTGGTCTCCTGGACTCCCAGGCCACACCTCCCAGCGGGTGACTCAGAGAGAGGACTGAACTAATAAGAGCTCCCACTCCCGCTCCAGCAGAGAAGCCAGGGAATATTTCCGATAACTAGAACCTCATCTCAGTCGTTAGCACAGCCCATGGGTGAAGCAAGTCAGCCATACTGGTCCAGGGGATGCCTATGATAGAGATCAGATGAGAGCGCCCCTACCTGGCAGGCCTCCAACAAAGGTAAGCAGAGTGCCTTGCAGATGCTTCTCGAGGATGTCCAGTCTCTCCTGCAGCTGGCCAGCGCTCACTTCACTCTGGCCCTTGGTACCATCCACTTCCAGGGTGGCCTCACCTTCCCGAAGGGAGACTGTGACTACGTGTTCCTGGCTGTCGCACACTTTGATTTCCATCAGTGCCAGGGCAACATCCTCGACTGCCAGGACCACCAACTGCAGGGGACATAGAAGCACAGGGGTCTTCATAGGCTGGCCACCTCAACACTACCCCCTTCTTGTAGCTCCGCAACCCTGGGTGTGAGGAGGTCTCAGAACCCTAGTACTTTCCTAGACTGGGACCCAATCTTTGCATGTAAAGCAGGGGACAGCTGAGAGGTGACTGAGGGGGGGATGGCTGAGTAGTGGCTGCTCTTACAGAGGACGTGGGTTTTCTTCCCAGCATCCCTATAGCTCACAACCTTCTCTAACTCCAGTTCTAGTGATCTGCCGCTCTCTCCTGGTCTACACAGGTACACAGTGTACATGCGTACAATGCAGGCACAACCTCCATACACAAAAACTTCAAAGTCCCTGGGACACTCCTGTTCACCCAGGTCACCCAGCCTGAGCTGACTTAAGGATGTGGCAGGACACACCTGTCATACGTAGCTGTGGCCTCAGCCCAGGAAAGAGCACACACTCTACCTAGCCTCCCTGGGGTGAACAGGCTGTGCTGGCAGGAGCCTTTGGCTTTTTATCACAAGGCAAGGGGTGGGTTGAGATGCCCAGTGGCATGAAGTCTGGTCCCCATGGTGGTATGGATCATGGAAACCAACCCTGTTACTAGTGTAAGTAGCCAGCAGAGCTCTATGGGCTGCACAGGTGGGGGATAGAACCCTCCTGTTTGGGACGTGAGAGAGAAGTCTTCCTCTCTCAACAGCCTCATGTTCTGTAAGAGAATGGGGGTGGGGGAAGGGGAGGCAGCAAAGCCTCACGCAGCATCACTCACCATGATCATCTGATAAGTTATCACAGCTTATGGTGAGGTTAGTGGGTCTGACTCCGAAAGAAACTGGAAATCTCACTGTGCAGTGACACTATGGGACTCTTATGACATCGGCTCTCTGTGTGGGACACCCTACACCTATGGTCCAGCAGTAGCTCACAGGAAGGTTGCAGACCCTGGCTGCACCACCAGCCACCTTGGCCAGCAGTAGTTTCATTTCACAGTCATGCCCACGTGACTGTACTGCAGCCTTGGCTCCAAAGTCGGAGGGCATCACCCAGCTGTGTGTACGCAGACCTGGGTAGATATCTGTGTCTGGGAAGGAGTCTCCAGGGCAGGGAAAGGTTCAACGTGTCAATATCTCAGAGAGTGGGCAGGGCCTTGGGACTTTTCCTTGAAGGGGAAGAATGGGGGTCAGTGTTTTCAGAGGTCAGGGGATCCCAGTCCAAGCTGGCCCTGTGTTCTAGCTGCTTCTGTGGTTCCATTCAATCCTACCTGCTTCTTGAGCTTCTTTGTAGAGTGGTAGTCGACCAGGGCTACAGAGAGGGGGACGACGTGGTTGTCACCTACTAGGGCTAGCAGCACCCCTGTGTCAGTGGCAGGGCGGATCCGAGCCACAACTTCTACTTTCCAGGTGGTTTCCGTGCCGACGTCCAGTGACGTCCGGGCTGCGATGAAAGCGGCACATTACAAGTCAATACAAGCAGGAGAGAGGCGAGAGTGAGAACACAGCGAGCGGCGACTCAGACCAGAGCGCCACAAGGGACAGCTCTGCACACCCTGGGAGGGGACCTCCTGGTAAAGGCAGGTGGGGGAGGATGCGAAAAGGCTGTACCTCTAAGACCCGCCAGTGTCTCAACAGACGGAAAGGAGAGGAGAAGCTCGCCAGCACTGGATGTGGACAGTCGGCTCTGGGGCACTGGGGGTGGCTACTCCCTACTCCGAAGTACCCTGCTGGTGCCCTCCAGGTAACAAAGACCTATCAGGGAGCCACAAGGCCAGCACCAAGAGCCATCCACTGCCTTGCTTCACCTCTGCCTAGTTCACGAAGCACCTACCGCAGCTCCAGCAAGCCCTACGCGTGTCTGCGCTCTGGGTGGCATGGCCTGGCATTCCAGAGCCTCATGGCATGAACTCATCCCCATGCAGTACCCGTGGATGCCGCGTGTTTAAGACACAGCTGGGTGGCTCTTCGTGTCATCTGCATCTTAGGTTTGCACTAAAGTGGACAGGTGGGTTCTGGTTCTTCCAGGGCAAAGAGCCTGTATTCCTCACCACGTGGGAGCCCTTCACCAACTGAGAGGCCAGAAGAGATAATATTTAAGTCTGTCTCTCATGAAGAACACCGAGGCTAGAAAGAGCTGCTGGAAGCCAATCAAGTAGGTCAGCCTCACTATGGTGTGTCGGAGGCTCCGAGGTTGACCTATTCTCCCCCACCCCACCCCCCCAATCGATCAGATCACTTCCTCTAGCCTCTCCTAGCTGACATGTATAGGGGTTAATTCTCAATAGTTTGTTGAGTATATGAACACAGATTGCAACAATAATAACCACTTTGCTGTGATGGAAGGGGCCAAGCGTACACTCTACCTGGTTGGTGTCTGACAAATGAAACCGGACCCTGCCTGTTTGGTGAGTTTTCTCAGCATGGTGGTTCATAGATGTCATTACTGTTAGAACTTGAGGTTGAAGGCCCAAACATGACCCTCAATGGCTGTTACAGTTTAAGAAATTATGGGTTCTGCTTTGAAGCAGCTTAAGTCCTGATTGTACAACCTTCTGCTTCCTGGGTCATCCCTAGCAACTGGTGGCTGTAGATTCCATGTATCCTCCGTCCTTTACCATATCCCCGAGAAGCACAGCAGAACCTTTTGCCAGATCCCTTCCTGCTTTCTCTCCATCTGGGCCCGAGTGCCTGCTGCAGGGCCCCTTCCAAGGGTGATAAAGACCAGCCTTCCTGTCTTCATGCTCTTTCCACCTCTAATCCTCCTCTGAAAGCCACTGGCCAGCGAAGGCCTGGCACACATCTGAGAATTGCTGCATGCATTCGGACACGTCCAGTGTTGTCCTTTTGGGTTTTCTTCCAGGTAACCCCTTCCCCCTGGGCCTGCGCATTCAACCACTTTCTAGCTATTGGGCCATGTCTCCATCTCTTCCTCGGCTAACTCTATGTGAAGTTCAGATACCTGTTCTGGGAGCTGGGCCTTGCTTTCCCTGCTCAGGCCTGTCCCAGCTTGTGGGTTAACAGGCTTGTCACTGAGGTAGGAACCGCTCAGATGGATGCTCACACTTCAGCAGAGCTGCCTGGAAGTCCCTCCACAGCTGGCCCCAGGCAGGGCGCTACCCACTTACTGTAGTTGAGGCTGAAGAAGGCAAATGCATTTCCAGGGAAGAAGGAGCCCCTCTCGGTCACAGAGAAACACTGCATTTTTGTGTTTGCCTTCACCGTTTCCTGGATGGCGCTGTCTTCCCCATTCAGCCAGTTCCAGCTCCTCATGCACCCGTCCAGGCGAGGGTTAATCTGGAAAAACCAATAACTCCTGGTGACTTCCTGAGCCATGACACCATAATGGCAGGCTGGAGCAGGAAGGTCGAGAGCCTGGTGCTACAGGACCTGCTGGCAGGGCCCTCTGGCTTACGTACGTGTAAATAAATCTATAGTGTAAAAATAGAGGGAGGGTTCCTCCCGCACCCCCACAAGATTTCTTCACTTTTCAAAGACTTCGGGACACCTGCATCCATGCAGAATGAGAACCCGTGTGGCAGTGAGGCAGCCACCTGCTTTGTCTGCCGTGTCTCCTCATTGTAGGGAGAGGGACAAGGTACCTGCCAGTGGACTGCGCAGGTCGGGCATTTTATTGTGGCTATCTTGTCTGTCCCCTTACTCGGGGCTACAAAGCAAAGCTAGAAAGGCCAGGCCACGGATGCCAGTCCCAGACTGACCATATATGCACTGTGTGTAGACTGTTATATAACCCAATCAGGCCACCCTTATGACTGTACACTCACTGTGTGTGGGCTGTTATATAATCAAATCAGGTCACCCTCGTGACTGTACACTCAGTGTGTGTGCGCGTGTGCAAAAGTGGTTATATAATCCAATCAGGTCACCGTCATGACTGTATACTCACTGTCTACAAATCCAATCAGGTCACTGTCATGACTATATATATACTCATTGTGTATAAGGCTGTTTATATAATCAACTCAGGTCACCCTTGTGACCATATTCTCACTATGTGTAGGCTGTTATATAATCCAATCAGGTCTCACTTATGATTGTACACTCACTGTGTGTGTGCGTAAAAGCTATTAAATAATCAAACCAGACCACCCCATCTTCTGTGTTGAAGATCCGCAACCATGCATTTGCTGTCCTCCCTTTGGGACTCTTCCTGAGGTGGTGACTCGATCACCTACCAGACAGATTTTCCATCTGCACTGGATGCTGCCATCCCCCAAACAAGGGCTCTGACCAGTGAGCTAGAGACAGATGAGGTTACAAAGGCCAGGTATGGTGTAGGCAGAAAAAAGCAAGGACTTTGACAAGTGACATCCCCCCCCCAAAAAAAAAGCCTCTCCCACAGGAAATCTAGGTATGGTTAACAATCTAAGGTGTCTTGAGACACATCCAAGAATTTGAGAGTTACTGATGGACCATGATGGCTGCCAGCATGGGCCCCTTGTGATTGTTAGACTTGGGCTGGAGGACAAGCCCCTCTGGGCACAGCCAAACCAGAGCTGGCTGCAGACCCCTCCATGGTCAGGGCTGGACTTACAGGCTGGACGAGGTCGTTCTCCTTGAAGGGAATGCCGCCCACGGTGAGATTCAGGTGATAGAGGCCTCGCTCCAGCTGGAACAGCTCCCCGGCCACTGCGATCTTCATCACAGCATCTTTGTTGACCTTGATTACTAGGTTGCGTTCCAGCTCCTCCACAGAGATCTGAGGGGGGTCAGGCAGGGAGGTCAGGTGGATCGTCATTCTGGAAGGCCCCCAGAGCGTATTGTGTGGGTCAAATGCACCACACCTCAGGGTAGGCATCCCATATTATTTGTGTCTCACAGCCTAACCCATGAGCCTACACCTGTGTCACCTGGGCCCAAGACACTTGACCTCAGTGGGGGACAGGCTATGCTACCAGTGTTTAGAAGCCTGACCCATGAGACCATGCCCATGTCTCCTGGGCTTGTCAAGGGCACTGGACCTCAGGTGAAACAATATCCAAGCGGTCCAGGAAGAGCCTGACCTCACAAGACCACACTCATATCACGTGGGTCCAGGAGGAACTAAGCCTTGTTGGAGGCCAGGCTTACTCTCACCTCTGTGGATTCTCCCCACACCCTTCCTGGCTCAGAGTCACTACTGTAGCTCCCCATGTGAGTTCACAGGTCAGGGTTCAAAATGGAGACAAGACCTAGCATGCAAAGAGGGCTAGCCTCCCCTCTCCCCATTTTAGATTAAAATCAAAAGAACCAGAAGAGAATCACTGAAGGGTCCTACTGATGCTCATGCTGGGTTAAAAGAACTAGAGAGAACTAGAGAGCCATGTCTGCTGCGGCATGAGGCTCACAGGACACTGCAGCCTGGCAGTCTAGGGTGTTCTACGACAGGGGGAGCACAGTAACCACAATCCAACTTGACTTGGGTAGACGGAGATAAGATCTCGCTCATCCCCAGATGACACTGGACACTGGACTGGCATGGAGTGCTGCCCCCGGTGGCCTGTGTGTCTGTGTCAGGGACTTCCAGGCTCCAAAGTGGACTCTGAATCCAGTCAAACGCTGGGTCAGAGCCAGACTGAAGCCTGGCACGCTCCATGTTTGACCTCTTCTCACATGTGACACACACAGTGTCAGATAACAGCCCAGTGAAGCTTTGTGGAGCCAATAGTCGCGCCCCAGGCCCCAGGTACTACATCACAGACGATACTGTGAAGGGTGCCACAGCCCTCACAGCCCGCCAGCCCAGCAGGCCGGCACAGCTAGCTTTGGCTAGGTGCCCATAATGGTCCAAGGGGAATGGGATTGTTATTGTGAGAGAAGAACCATTGCCCCCTGCACATGCCTCCACTGGCTTCCCGGTGTCTCCAGAAGAAACCCCAACATTTCCTCAGTCCAGCCTAGGCCTGGAGGGCAGTTCACTCTGGGTCTCCCATTGGTGTGTCTGCCCAACTTCCAGCCTAAAAGAGACCCCCACAACTGCCCTATGTCTGTGGTCTATGCAACCTCTTGCCTCTACAGCCTATGCAAGCCTTCTGCTACTCACAAGGTCCCCTAGGTCCTAATGCCTGCCTCCTTTGGTCATCCTTGACCCTGAAGTATCCCATCAGCCAGTGATCTGTCTATGTCATGGCTCCCCATGCCAGTGCTGTGGTTGGAAGAAATACATATTTCAAATTTTTCTAAACTCCTAACAGTTTGTGTCTAGGATGGAGCGCTATTGAAGAACAAGTTCCTCAGAAACCGCACGTGGGGAAGTCTCAAAGCCTGTATGGGAATGTACATTAGACAGGGTGTGGCTCCTGGCTTCCAGAACTGCAGGATCCTTTTCAGCTGAGCTGGAGGTGTAGTTAGGGCCTTCCTGCATCTGTCAGAGAGCAGAGTTATGAATGGCTGGGCAGGCAACTCAGAAAGGGGCAGAACTTGGCCTCTCGGGCTGCTCTGTTACTTAGCCATGAGTTCAGGGTATGTGAGCTGCCACCTAGACAGTTCCCTGTCACAGTCCCAGCCAGGCTTGTCCCCATGGCTATGTGGAGGGCACCCTCTCCTGAGGCTGCTTCTTTCCTTGTGTACCCTCCCCTGTTCTGCTAGAGTCCCTGATCCTTCTAAGCCTGGAAGAACAGACAGAACCTGGTAGCTGGAGAAATGGCAGGGGTCCATATTTGTCTGTGTGGATTTCTCATTTTGTCTTCACTGCTAAGGGAAAACCCACGTCTTTCTGCTTTTCATTTTTTTGGGGGGGGGGGTCAAACATTAATTCCCAAGTCTGTTTTACTGCCTGGGATATAGGAGGTCATTGTCCATTACCCCAACTCCAGTGGGGAAAGCAGCCAGAGCTGAGAGAAGGCTCCCCTGTGGTCAGATGGGTAGAGGACCCTGCTCTCAGTGCTCGGGTTTATGGGTGGTTTGTACTGGTTGTCTATCCCCTGGGGTGTACTACAATGTGTGGACGCCCTCACGTAGTTATTCTAGTGTCTTCCGGGCCAACGTCACATGGCTCTCACAGGAAAGCCATACTCGGCCAATGAAGCAGCAGCTCTGGGTACCACAGGCTACATCCAACACCAAATGCGAGGGCTAGCCTCGGCTTTCCGCTTACCGTCTGCCACATGCCGTGGTTGATGACTGGCCCGCTGCTGGTGATGCGCCCAACCCCGTTATACCGCAGCTGCAACTCAAGCCGCCCGGCCCGTAGGCCCAGGACAATCCAGGTGCTATCCGAACGGCCTCCAGCGAAGAAGAGGACTCCTTCCGGGTCAAACGTTCGGAAGTCAAACTCAGCCAGCAGCCTGTAAACAGACCCAAGACATAAAGTGGGCTACAGAGCAGGCCCAAGGCTGCCTAGTCCTAGGGCCTTGACCCCTGTGATGCTTTCCAGGACATGAGAGGAGCTGGTTCACTCAGAGATCTTGAAAACAAGGAGCCCTGGACCAGCCTTCTCACCTGGGTTCTGCTGTCCTGTGTGCTTGGCTCTCACCTGGTGGGTTGAAGCCTCTTGAAGCGTAGTCTGATAACTGGGGTGCCGCTGAACATGCGGCCGAGGTACAAGGACTTCACGCTCTTGTCCATAGTGAAGGGCACACATGGTAAGATGTCCTGCCATGAGAGGAATGTGTTGGGGGGCGGGGGAACCCCTGTGGCTGCCTTTTAAACAGCTTTCAGGTTCTGGTCACACTGGGGAGATTCTCTGACCTTCCAGATTGCCAAGGTTAGCCCATCCCTGGAAACCCCAGAGTCCATATGACCAGTCCCACTTTGGTGCCCCAGGCAGAGGCCCAGGGTTCTGAATTCTACGACCTGCTTCTTTCTCGCCTGTTCTTATTTGCTAGTGGTGTTCAAATTATGAAATGCTTCAAACTCACAGGAGAGTACAGAGACTCATAAAAATTCATTTTTAGTACACTATTAACAAAATGAACAGAACAAAGGCCTTGAAGACTATGGTTTAAGAATCTTCCCTGATTTATGCTGTGGGCTTTCCCACTGACCAGAGAGAGGATGGAATTAAAACAGGTTAAGCTGGCTTCCAGGGGAGATGAGGGAACAGGAGGGTCCTGCATTGTCACCCTGGCCAGCAGGGAGCCTGAGGCAGAGCCCATGTAGGTGCTGGTCCCCTGGCCCCTCAGGAGGGTACTAGCTCATGCAGCAGGAGTCTCACAAAGTACCTAGAGGACTTGGGCTTCAGGCTTGTAATAGAGAAAAGCTTCCCCTGCTCCCCAGGCCTGTGGCTTGCAGAGTCATCAATGGTGCATGGTCACTTGCTGCTGTTTTCCAGCGAATGCCATCAATGCACAACTTCCCTGCAGTTTATTTAGCTTGATACAGAGCCCTGAGTGAACGGGGTGTGTGCATGCATGTGAGTGTGCGCGCACAAGCGTGCATGCACGTGTGCACTGTATATATCCTGGTGTGAACACATCACACCTTGGGTCTACACCAGCAGGCTACGTGGCTGAGAGTGGGGAGTTGCTAGGGAGATTTCATCAACACCACCAAACAGGTTTGGCTAGCTGTGTGGTCCCGAGAGCCAGTAGGAGTTTTCAGTCAACCACAACCTGACAGTAGCAGAGAGTCCTATACAAAGCACAGCACGGGGGCTCTGCGAGGCCATCTAGTGGACACTAAGGTCACCTACCTCACAAGTATCCATGTCTGGGGACAGCTTTAGGCCTCCTCGCCCATCACAGTGGCAGGTGTAGCTGCCCGGGGAGTTGACGCAGGTTTGTTCACAGCGCCCCTGCTGGCACTCGTCCACATCTGCAGGCAAAGGGACTCATGGTAGACATGGGGAAGGCTCCAACACTCAGCAACCCCCCTCTTCCTAGAAACACACTGTAGACACCATTGCTCAGCCTGCTACCTCAGAGGCCTGTCTCTTAGGTCCCGCTTCCTAGAGAGAAACGAAGAGCTGAAGATGTCCAAGGACTGGGCTCCGAATGACCGACCTGGGATGGTGGGACCAAGAGTGTCTGCGTGGGTTGTGGAGCATGGGGCAGGGCAGGCCACTCCTTAGCTCTATACTCCCTTCCCTGGGCTCCCATAGCTATCTCTCAGAGTCTCTTGTAACTCCCAGAAAGGCGTGACTATAGGAAGAGACAGTCTCTGCCCT